CGACAATACAATCCTTGAATGGTTTGTTGACTGAAATATCAAGTGGCTCCAGTTCAGTAGTTATGCCACTAGGAATCACAATCAGGTTTTTGACCTGGTCAGAAGTAGGTTATGATGACATCTATCCCTTAACTAATCTTCCATAAGCTCTGTTGTAGTCCATTGAGTTATCTCTGTGTGTACAATGGCATCTTTGGGGGAAATATCATTCTTTTCTTAAAATCAAATACAGAGGCAACTTCAACCATCAGCAGTGATATATAGTATCACTGTGATATGCTGCTTTTCACAGACAGGGCTTATAGTGTTGACATTTGGCACTCGGTGTGAAGCAGCAGTACTTTGTGGTCTGATAGGGATCTTTCAGTGGCATTTGAAACCTTCATCCATGGTGCCCTTTTAGGTTATCTGGATGGTTTGGTACTGGGGACATTGTTGTGCAGTGGTTTCTTGATTGAACATTCCCAAAGGATGGTACTAGGAGAAGATTATTCAACCTCTTGGCCATAGGGCTCCATAGAGGTCAATACCATCCCCAGTGCTTTTCACTATCTACATATGGTTACTAGAGAAGATCGCCCAGAGCTATGAAGCTGGGTTTCATCAGCATTCTGATGATACACAGCTCTGTTTACCCTTTTCAAGCAATGCCAAGAAGGCTGTGGCTATGTCTGGATACAAGTGAATAGGCAGGTTTCATTCAGACAAGAGAGAAGTATCACTGGTCAGTAGAAAAAATCAACCCCAGCCAATTCTAGATGGGGTTATTCTGCCACCAAAAGATTAAGTTGGTAGATTTGGGGCGCTCTAGGACCCAGTGTTGTTCCCGGGAAAGTTTGGCTTGTACACCCCTTCTTAAGGAAGGCAGAACTGACTACAGTGATTCCCTCTTTAGTTTCCTCTTGCTTAGCCTACTATAATGCACTCTGAGTGGGACTGCCCTTGAAAGATGTTAGGAAGCTCTAGCAGACAGACTGGTATCAGGTGTCCATTTTCGAGACTATATAAGAGTGATCCTGCAAAAATGTTATTATTATTATTATTATTATTAACTGTATTTATACCTCGCTCTTCTCAACCCCGAAGGGGACTCAGAGCGGCTTACAGATTATGGCAACATTCAATGCCGCATCATACAACAAATAATAAATATAACATATCAAATTATAAAAGAATTAAAACATATAAATGCAGTAAGAGCAACAACAAATAATAAATATAACAATTTACTTTTGAGCTCAATTCAGGATGCTAGAGCAGGGGTCCCCAAACTAAGAGCCGCCGCAAACTAGGTTCCTGCGGGAGCAAACCTTGCTAGCACGTCCCTGACGTCATGAGCCTGCGCCTCTCTCCCCGCCCCTTTCTCCGCCCCTTTCTCTTTGCCAGCGTGGTTTTTCCTTTGCTAGGGCAGCATTGCCCGCATTTTCTCTCAGTTGAATTCTGCCAACTGAGAGAGTATGCTGGCAATGCTGCCCTAGCAAAGGAAAAACCACGCTGGCAAAGAGAAAGGGGCGGAGAAAGGGGCGGGGCGAGAGGCGGAGTCTCATGACGTCAGGGACGTGCTGGCAAGGTTTTCTCCCGCAGGAACCTAGTTTGCGACGGGTCTAAGGCCCGGGGGCCAGATGCGGCCCTCCAAGGTCATTTACCCGGCCCTCGGGTCAACCTAAGTCTGAAACGACTTGAAAGCACACAACAACAACAAACCAATCTCATCAGCCAAAAGCAGGCCCACACTGCCCCTTGAAATACTAGTAAGTTTATATTTGTTAAAGTTGTTCTTCATTTTAATTACTGTATTGTTTTAAGTGTTTTTGCACTACAAATAAGGTATGTGCCGTGTGCATAGGAATTAATTCATTTCATTTTTTTTTCAAATTATAATCCGGCCCTCCAACAGTTTGAGAGACTGTGACCTGGCCCTCTGTTTACAAAGTTTGAGGACCCCTGTGCTAGAGCTTACATACTAAGCTAAGATACCTGACAAATTTTCACATCCCACATGAGCCTGATAGAAATTAGAGATCTTCAAAGGAATCCCAACACCTTGTGAAGTTAAGATTGATGGGTACACAGAATATTCAGCATCTGAAGTACTGTTTTAACTGTTTTAAAACTGAACCCTGGGATTGTTTTTTTTTTACTGCTTTTAGAAGTTTTTAAAGGGTATTTTATAGGATCCCGAGAGCTTCAAAAATTTTCTCTGCATTGGTGAATGAATACATAAATTTTGGAATACTACATGTATCGTGAATTGATTTTTTAAATATTAGGAACAGCTCTTTTCTCATAATGTGAGTTTGACATTTTGGCATTGTATGTCTTATTGAGTCACACTCAAAATGTGGAATGAAATGAAGAAATAAATTTTGATTTTGCCTTTGTATTCTATATAAGTAGTTTATTTAAATCCATAGACTCATTTGAAGTTCTATATTTTATTGTTTGAAAGTAGTTTGTTTTGGTAGCTAATCACATTATATTGGGGGGGGGGGGAACCCACAATGAAAATATTTTATTCTGAACTGCTTTCCCTTCTGGCTTACAGCTCCTCATACCCCATGTGCGGTTTACAATAGCCATCAACACCAAAGCCCGCGAGCAGCTTATTTGTGAATATGGCCTTTTTGATAAGGTGAGAAAGTTTTACTCTCTTCCTAGGTCTGAAAGCCCAGCAAAGCACTTCAAACTGTGTTCTAACAAAAGCAATACTTTCCCCAATAAAAAAGCAACAAAACCAGTAAACAAACAGGGCAAAACAATAATTAATCCAAGAAGTATAACTGAACAGAAGCTGTTGATTTATCAGTCAGTAAGATGATTTAAACTTTCCTTTGACCCGTCTTTGTGCTAGGGCAGCATTGCCCGCATTTTCTCTCAGTTGAATTCTGCCAACTGAGAGAGTATGCTGGCAATGCTGCCCTAGCAAAGGAAAAACCACTCTCGCAAGGAGAAAGAGGCGGAGAAAGGGGCGGGGCGAGAGGCGGAGTCTCATGACGTCAGGGACATGCTAGCAAGGTTTGCTCCCGCAGGAACAGAGTTTGCGACGGCTCTTAGAAAGCAGTTCTTTAATATGCTGCTGTTAGAGAAAATACATTGTTCCTCTTGGAGGTTAATCAGACCTCTCTATGAAATGAAATTAAATCCCCAACTTTCTGAGATCTCTGAAGTAATATTGTAAAGGTAAATGTTTATCCTTGACATTAAGTTTAGTCAAGTCCAACTCTGGTGGTCGGTGCTCATCTCCATTTCTAAGCCAAAGAGCCAGCGTTGTCCGTAGACACCTCCAAGATCATGTGGTCAGCATGACTGTATGGAGCGCTGTTACCTTCCTGCCTAAGCGGTACCTATTGATCTACTCACATATGCATGTTTTCGAACTGCTAGGTTGGCAAAAGCTGGGGCTAACAGCAGGAGCTCACCTTGCTCCCCAGATTTGAACTGCCAACCTTTTGGTCAGCAAGTTCAGCAGTTCAGTATTAACCCACTGCGCTACCGGGTAATATTGAACTGTAGATTAATTTCCGTGGGGAGAAAAAATTGTATTCCAGTATCAAATAGTTTAGGAAGGAGCAAAATAATCAAATGTAGCTTCCCTAACTCTGAAAGAAAACTCAAGAAAGCTCCTAAAATGCTATCCAAAGTTACAAAGTGTATAGGATAATCAGTAAAGCCATACTCCCTTGAGTGAAGAACTATCAATGTGCTTAAGGCAGTCTCACGCATCCTTTGCTGTCTGAGTATCATGTTTAGGATTGCAGCCTCAGCTGTAAAGATAAGGCAAGAAGTGCCTTCAAAGAAATTCAGCACCATTCTCCACAACATTTCAATCCAAAAAGATTAATTTCTAGTTGAGGAGAATTGCTAGTTTTTATTTTTTGGATCTACTTAACCATGAAATTGTCTTTAATGCCCTGTGACACTTTTTTTTTTTTTTGGGTGCCAAAGGCAAATGCCACTGGAGGAGGCGGTCATGTTGAAATGGTTCAGCGAGCAATGAATTACCTCACCTACAGCTCCCTCTGCTTTCCCGAAGAAATCAAGGCACGACAAATGGAAAGTTATGAAGACATTCCATACTACTACTATCGAGATGATGGTATCAAAGTGTGGGATGCAATAAAGAGGTATGGAACCTCCCGAAATAAATTCTGTTAATTTATATAGAGACTCTGGAGAGCAATAACAAACTGAATTAATCTCTGGAGTGTGGTTTTGCTTGTGGAAGCTGAGCGCATCCTTCCCATACCAATCCCTTTTTGTATCACTTTGCTTTTTGACAAGCTATCCCAGGATGCATGATGCAAAACCATATAAAACTGCTGTTCCTCTTTTCTGATTCTTTCAGGGCAACTTCCCATTTTTGTTGCAATTGCGGCTATCACCATTATGCTGATGTTGCACCAGTGTTTCCTATATCAAGATCGCAAAGTGAAGACTGGAGGGAAACTTGGTTTTGAAAGCTAAAAGCTTAATTAATTGCCCTTAAAACCATTCCTTAGAATGAGCTTTGGCTTAATTAAATCCATATTGTATTGTTTTCACTGGTAGATTATTTTTGTCTAGATTGAGTCTGTCTGCATATTTCTGGATATGCATAATTTATGGTGCCCATAGAAATATAAGAATAATATGAACACAAACTTGCTCTTTTTCTTTGCTGCTTTCTGTGAGAAAAAAAGCAGGGTGTTATCTGTGATAGGCCATGCGGGGACATGAGAGAAGCCTCCCACAAGGATGATAAAACATCAAAACATCCGGGTGTCCCCTGGGCAACGTCCTTGCAGATGGCCAATTCTCTCACACCAGAAGCGACTTGCAGTTTCTCAAGTCGTTGCTGACGCAACAAAAAAAAACTGTGATAGGCCATGTTTTCTATTTATTTATTTATTTAAAACTTTTATATCCCAATTTTCTCACTTCCGTAGAGGGACTCAGACTGGCTTACAGCAAGGATTCAATGCTACTAATACAAGTTAAAACATAATAATAATAATAATAATAATAATAATAATACTTTATTTATACCCCTCCACCATCTCCCCACTCGGAGTGGCTTACATGAGGCCAAGCCCGAAAACGCATCAAAACCACAAGCAATAATAAATCAACAAGCAATAAACAAAATAAACAATACAATTAATACAACTACATATATACCAAATCATCAAGGTAAAATCATGTTCAACTTAGTCCGCATATATGGTCACTCACTTTGGTCTGTAACCAATCTCAGCCATTATTCTGGGAATGTTTCATTCCATAACCAGGATTTCACTAGGAAATCCTGGTTATGATTAGATCTAGGATTAGATCTAATCATAGGGAGGGGTCAGATCTACTCTCACTCAGGAGAGAGTTCCATAGCTGAGGGACCAACACAGAGAAGGCCCTGTCTCGTTCAAACCAAATGCGTTTGCGAAGGTGGTGGAACTGAGAGCAGGGTCTCTCTGTAAGATCTTAACGTCCATGATGGTTCATAGGGGAGAATACATTCGGACAGGTAAACTGGGCCAAACGGTATAGGGATTTATAGGTTAAAACCAGCACTAAGGTGGTGGACTGTGGAGGCAGGGTCTCCTTAAGTGAATCTTAGACTGTGACCATAATGTGTAGTCATAGGGTGGATCTTTTTTGTTTTCGGACATTTTGATGAGCTGGTCCGAACGGTGTAGTGATTTATAGGTTAAAACCAGCACTAATGTTTTTTGTGACTCTGAGCATGTTTTTGCATGCTTTCAAGAGTTATTCCCCCAAAGGTATATTTATATAAATGTAAAGATTGATATTTGTATCTGTAGAAATAAGCTCTCATTCCCTGATGGATGCATATCATGTTTACTGTATATAGTTAAAGACCTGCCATTTAAATCAATCAGCAATTCTAATGATTCACCTAAGACTTTAGGCCTTGCTTTGGAAATAGAAGCATTTGAAGCCACAGATTTTTTCCTCTCCCTCTGCCCTCAGAATTGATATTTGTCAAGCCTTTGGCTTTTACTGGCAGGAACTAACTTGACACCCAGAGCACCAACATCTCATTGAGCACTTTGAAAATGTGGAAGGTGTTGTGATCATTTTATACATGTGAAGGCTTTCTCTCTCACACACACACAGAATCAATAGGGCAAGTCATCTAGGAAAAAAGTGATTTTGCTAATTTTCCTTGCTGTTACATGCAGCTTTGTGACAGATGTTGTCGACATCTATTATAAGACTGATGAGATGGTGTGTGAAGATGTGGAGCTCCAGGCCTTTGTGAAGGACATTTATGTCTATGGGATGAGAGGCAATAAGTCTTCAGGTAAGACTCCGTTAGCTCCCCTGTGCTGTGGACAAAGTGGGTCAACTGGTATTATTTTCCCGAAAGGAAAGGAATTGTGGGAGAAAACCAATTTATCTGCAATGCTGCATTTATCAGAAATTTAAGAATTCAGTGAGACATTGATAACAAAGGGATAGGACTGTCCTACGCTAAAGTATATATTAATAAAAACAATGAATGAACACTAACATTTAAGAGTGTACCATATATGCATTCTGAAACTTTGCATCAAAAGAGGTATGACATTTCCAATAATTAAGAAACATCTCTCAGTCTCTTTAAAAAGTTAGTAATTAATTGTTCTTAAGTCAACTTGGATTTTATGAATGAGAAACCTTCCTGTCACCTGTCCAAGTCTTGCAGACTTAGGGATGTGGCTTCCTTGACCTTATCTGAATCTAAATATATTACTTCTCACATTCAGCTGTATCATACTGGGAAATATTTACTATTCTAAATATGAGAATAATGTTCTATATTCCCATTTTTCTAATGTATAATCCTTATTATTGTTGTTGCAATTTTGGATCTTTTTTATTATTATTATTTATACCATTTCTACCCCGCCCTTCTCACCCCCGAGGGGGGACTCAGGGCGGCTAACACAGGCAACAATTCAGTGCCAACAGTATCAATAACAACAGTATAAACCAACAATATAAAATCCTATTACATAACAATTAAACAGTGATATTAATTAAAATTACAGAATCACATAGGACAAATCACATAATCACAAGTCATATAACCATTTCCAATTTTCATAACAATCCTATTGTCCGAGTTCAGTGCTCAATAGCCAAAGGCCTGGCTCCAAAACCACATCCTTAGTTTTTTACTAAAAGTAAGGAGGGAGGACGCCGATCTAATCTCGCTGGGGAGTGAATTCCACAAGCGGGGGGTCACCACCGAGAAGGCCCTGTCCCTTGTCCCCACCAGACGCGTTTGAGACACTGGTTGGACCGAGAGCAGGGCCTCCCCAGTAGATCTTAAATTATTAGTGCTGCTGCTTCTTTAAATCACAAGGATTCCATAGTATTGAGCCAGGGCAATGTCAAACTGAGCCAAGGGGTGTCAAACTGCATTCATTCCACAGTGTAGAGAGGCACCCAGAGCTACCAAATCTGACACCCTGGCAAAGGAACCCTGAGAAATTTGTGCAGCGGGTTAAACTGCTGAGCTGCTAAACTTGTTGACCGAAAGGTCACAGGTTCGAATCTAGGGAGTGGCGTGAGCTTCCACTGTCAGCCCCAGCTTCTGCCAATCTAACAGTTCGAAAACATGCAAATGTGAGTAGACCAATAGGTACCGCTCTGGCAGGAAGGTAATGGCGCTCCATGCAGTCATGCTGGCCACATGACCTTAGAGGTGTCTATGGACAACACTGGCTCTTCGGCTTAGTAATGGAGATGAGCACCAATCCCCAGAGTCGGACACAACTAGACCTAATGTCAAGGGGAAACCTTTACCTTACTTTACATTTCACAATGGCCACATGTTAGTATTACACAAAAAACGTACAAATGGTTTAATGCATTATCAAGTTATTGAGTTTTATTAACCATTTTGAGACAGAAGAAAATCCAAAAAATAACTCCACAAATGGGGCTTATGTTCAGGGTTTCCGTCTTGTGAAGGAGTAGGGCTATGGGCTCTTTGTGTGCTGGAAGAGGCATCTAGCAGCAATAATGTGAAATTTTGTGTTTGACCCTTTCAAGGCGCTAGCATTTCATTCATGGGTGAATTGTGATTGCAGAGATCTAGCAATTTCAAAAGTAGTCCATCTTTTTGAAACACCCAATGAATACGTAAGTTTTCAAAAAGATGGGCCCTGTTGGGTTCAAAATTAAAAGAAATAGGAGTGGGCGAAGGGATGGGGCAGAAGTCTGCTTCCAGTTTTGAAAGATGGATACTTTTAGATCTTTGAAAAGTGAAGTGTGAATTGCTGCTTCTAGAAGCCTCCAAAGGGGGTAGTTTGTCTGCCCCACCACACCCGCAGGAAGCAGGTGACTTAAGGAAGCTATATTTTTCCCCTTTCTACTATATTTCCAAACTTTCATTATTCTCTCATCTTGTTGTCTTCATCATGAGATGGTGAGGGGAGGAGGGAGTTACAATATTTGAATTAAAATGTTTAAAATTATTGATTTAGATCTTTCCTCTACCTTTCAGGATTTCCTAAGACGATCAAGACACGTGAGAAGCTGTCAGAGTATCTTACAGTAGTGGTATTCACAACATCAGCACAACATGCAGCTGTAAATTTTGGTCAGGTCTGTCTCACCTTGATGTAATGCTTCTTCTGGGCTATGGCATGTGGCCAAGGAATATCAGAAATGGAAAAGCGAATTATTATTGGCTATAAGAAATCACAGAAAAGATGGATTAGAGAAAATCGTTTTCAGAAAGGAAATAAGAATGGAAGTGAAATAATAATAATAATAATAATAATAATAATAATAAGAATGGAAGTGAAATAATAATAATAATAATAATAATAATAATACCAGTCCAAGTATTAATATCAGTTCAAGTGGTCCCACAAGACACCTATTAACCCAAAGAGTGACCATCACTAAAAAAAATATGATTTTGTCATTTGGGAGTTGTAGTTATATACATATATACAAATATACACATATACACACACACAAAACACATATACACAGACTGGGCCAAAGCAACGCGTGGCAGGGGATGACTAGTCTATATAAATAAAAATGTAATGTTCATTTGTGGGATTAACAGAACTCAAAAACCACTGAACGAATTGACACCAAATTTGGACACAAGACACCTAACAACCCAATGTATGTCCTTCACTCAAAAAAATTGATTTTGTCACTTGGGAGTTGTAGTTGCTGGGATTTATAGTTCTACCTACAATCAAAGAGCATTCTGAACTCCACCAACGATGGAATTGAACCAAACTTGCACACAGAACTCCCATGACCAACAGAAAATACTGGAAGGGTTTAATGGTTGAGCCACCCCTGGTTGTAGTTCACCTACATCCAGAGAGCACTGTGGACTCAAACAATGATGGATCTGGACCAAACTTGTCACGAATACTCAATATGCCCAAATGTGAACACTGGTGGAGTTTGGGGAAAATAGAATCTTGACATTTGGGAGTTGTAGTTGCTGGGATTTATAGTTCACCTACAATCACAGAGCATTCTGAACCCCACCAACAATAGAATTGGGTCAAACCTCCCACACAGAACCCCCATGACTACCAGAGTGGGCCACAGCAACATGTGGCTGGGGATGGCTAGTATATATATAGTTTTGCGCATGCATTGTAATGTGTGTTTTTTTTGCTTTTTGGCTTTCTAAGTCTCTTCTGCTGTGTTTTTAAGTGTTTTATGAGCGATTATCACTCATTGGACTGATATGTGTATTGTGTCCAAATTTGGTGTCAATTCGTCCAGTGGTTTTTGAGTTATGTTAATCCCACAAACGAACATTACATTTTTATTTATATAGATATACCTATAATATGCATAAGCACCTTTTAGAAGACTCTGTATACATTTCTCTATATTCCAGGTTCGATTCTTCCTAACTATTCTCTCCTTATTGAGTCACAGACAGATGCAAAATTATCATTCTGTTGCTACTTTGATACTTTGATTTCCTAGTTTACAATGAGATTCAATTCTACTCCCTTGGCTTCTTCCTTTTCAGTATGACTGGTGTTCCTGGATCCCCAATGCCCCTCCAACGATGCGCTGCCCACCACCTACAGAAAAGGGGAGTGCTACCATAGAATATATCATTGCAAGTTTACCAGACCGGGGTCGCTCTTGCTGGCATCTTGGTGCTGTCTGGGCCTTGAGTCAATTTCAGGAAAATGAAGTAAGTAGGAAACTGCAACCAAGTGCAACCTGAGGTCTCCTCCCCCTCCCCCCACCCCCAGTAAGCAGCAGTGTGCTTCAGGGTTTAGATGCCACCAGGAAGAGACTGGGCATCCTGAAAGTGGTCCTAAATCCCTCCTTTGCAACTCCCATCCAAGGAGTATAAAACAGCAGCATCGGTTTTCCATTTTACATTTGAAAGGCAGAATCTGTAAGCATTCCCAACACTCTGGAATTATTTTTTCCAAACTCAGTCCCCCAGTTACAAACATCTGACTTACAAACAACTCATAGTTAAGAATAGGGGTGAGACAACAGGAAGTGAGAGAAATCTACGCCTCGGAAGGAAAATTCACTCCTGAAAGAGTTATCTTGGGGGAAAGGTGTCTTCATGGAAGCTTTATCACAAATCCTGGTTTCCACAACAAGCCAAATTTTTCAAAATCCAATTATCACAGGGACAGAAAGCCGAACAAATATCGCATGGGTTGGATAGCCTTCCCTATGCTATCCAAAACATAGGGAACAGGTACACTTAAAACATGTACCTGTTCTGATTTACATACAAATTCAACTTAAGAACAAACCCCCAGAACCTATTTTGTTCGTAACTTGGGGACTGCCTGTACTGGCCTTTGTAGAGCATTCTCCAGATAGTGGCTCATCTATTTGCTCACAGAGAGGGAAGATTTCCTTTTTTTCACAATGGTATAGTTAACCACCTAGACATCTCTTAGATCTTTTCCGATCAATATCTTTCATGTTGACTCTCTCACTAGGTGTTTCTGGGAATGTATCCAGATGAGCACTTTATAGAGAAGCCAGTGAAAGAAGCCATGAAGAAATTCCGGAAGAATCTTGATGACATTACCAGCGACATCTCTGAGCGGAACAGGAACAAAAAACTCCCCTACTACTACCTTTCCCCAGATCAGATTCCTAATAGCGTGGCAGTCTGATGTTAAGACCTGCAAAGACAGAAAGTGGCAGTGAGCTGGCATAATGTTCTATATATGACAAATTATATATGACAGATTAGCTGGATTTAGAGCAACTTGGAGCTTAATCTGTATCGAGTCCTATTACAGCCTTAGTTTTTATTACTTATGCATCTGCTGATATAAGTACTTCCTTCTGCATTATTCAATGAAAACGGTGTAGAACGAAGACAGGATCAGCTGTGGCCTTCCAGATGTTTCTGGACTTCAACTTCCATAATCCCTCCTTAGTTGCTGAAATTGCTAGGGCTGATGGGAGCTGCAAGCCAACAATAGTTACAGGGCCAACATTTTGGGCTCTTCTTAATTTCTTTGTACCTTAAAATATGTTTTGTAACTAGGGAGAGTCTTTCCTGAATGGCCTTTTCTTACATACTTCTGTTGGAAGGATATTTAAAACAGAAAGAAAGAGAAATTCAATACTCTCTCCGATTGTTTGTGATTATGATTGTTACAGGGAATGTGTGCAAGCTTCCAGCACACTTTAAAATTACCCAGAAGATATTTGGAAGCCACAGAAAGGACACTGAACAATGTTTTTGTAAAAGGAGAAGTGGCAAAGTTTGACAAGTTTGCTTCCTCCCCAAGCTTTTCCTTCTCTCTTCCGCCAGACATTAAAAATAGACTAATGGGCAGGATATAGATGAGCCATATTTTGACTAAAACGTGTAGAAAGGGCTTCAAACTGTGATGCTCCCTTAGATTAAGATTTTTAAACCCTTAGACACTCAGACATTCAGTGTAGCTTCAGCAAGCAGGTGCAATTACACTAGGGTTTTTTTCCATGTCAGTGACCTGAGTCTGGGCGATTGCAGTTTTTCTGTTTTTTTTTTTTTTTTTTGTCGTGTCAGGAGCAACTTGAGAAACTGCAAGTCACTTCTGGTGTGAGAGAATTGGCCGTCTGCAAGGACGTTGCCCAGGGGATGCCCAGATGTTTTGATGTTTTTATCATCCTTGTGGGAGGCTTCTCTCATGTCCCCGCATGGGAGCTGGAGCTGACAGAGGGAGCTCATCTTCACTCTCCCTGGATTCGAACCTGTGAACTGTCAGTCTTCAGTCCTGCCAGCACAAGGGTTTAACCCACTGCGCCACAGGAGGCTCAGTCGCTTCTGATATAAGAGAATTGGTCTTCTGCAAGATGTTGTCCAGGGGACACCCAGATGTTTTACCATTCTGTGAGAGACGTCTCTCATGTCCCCGCATGAGAAGCTGGAGCTGACAGACAGTGGCTCACCCCACTCCCCAGATTTGAACCGCTGACTTTTCAGTCAGCAGTCCTGCCGGCAGAAGAGTTTAACCCATTGCGCCACCGGGGGGCTCCATTATACTGGATGAAAATGTGCGATACTGTTGTAGCTTTGAACATTCACTTACTCAAGAGGCAAAAGCAATTCACTCTACTTTTTGGTGAGAGAAAGTGGACATTTTAATCAACCCTCATACAAATAATGGCTAAGAGATAATAGCAGCACCAGAACCAAGTACCTTAAATCAGTGTCACAAAGTCTACTGGTGAATTTGTCAATTTCATCCCTAAATTTTCTATTTGCCTTAAAGGGTCTCTCCCTTTCAGTGTGGGGACAAGCAACCTCCCCATACCCACCAAAAAAAAAAAAACAACAACAACAAAACCCTGCCTAGGTTGCCACTAAACAATATGTGTAGACTGGAGAAAATTGGAAGAGACCTATACAATTATTTATTCTTATACTGTATAACGTGATTTTTGTCCTGGGCTATAAATGTCATTTCCTAACTGGTTCCATCATAAAAACATAGAAAAAGATTATCAAATTGCAAAGACTTTGTTTTTGTGGAACATCCTGCAGCACATTTTTGCTATAGTTTTTCAATGAATATTTTCAAGATAGTTTGGGGCAGCCACAAAAACTAGTTTATCTTTAGTATGCAGAAACTACGTTCAAATGTAAGGTAAATCGACACAACAGAGGGAGATGGAGTGTTTTCAACCGACAACAAAAAAGTTCAGGTTTTGTTTACATAGTGTTATAGCAAGAAAGGGGAAATGAATTCTTTGCAACATTAGGTTAAAATGGAGGGAGCAAAGTGCTTAGCAGATAGGCTTACGACACAGGCAGCAACGGTGGAAGGCACAGGGAGTGGAAGGAATCCTGCTGGCATCTATCCTCCAGTTCTTGCCACCACAATCTCGCCAATGTAACAGTGCTGATGCCATGAGTTGTAGAAATTGCATTAAGAAAGGAAGAGCAAAGAAAATCTATTTAATAAGGTTTATTAGATAGGCAAATCTGTATGCTATTCGCAGGTAAAAAGTGGTAGGACTGGGACTGCTTCTGGATGAAGATTTATTGTAGAATCACTCTGGTTCTTTCCTTCCCGCTTCACATCAGTACCCATTCGCAAACTTCTTATGTTTCCTTAGGGCTGCATCCATTTTTTTTCTTATTTGAGGAGTTCAGTGTCTTTAAGAAGAATGGGGAAGTACAAATTTGAAATCCTTTATCCAGAATTACAAAATCTGAAATATTCCAAAATTATCCACATGGGTGGTGGAAATAGTGACACCTTTGCTTTCTGAAGTTTCAATGTACACAAACTTGATTTTATGCACACAATTATTGAAAAATGTTTAAAATTACCTTCAGACTATGCTTGTAAGTTGTATATGAACCATGACATTAATTTAATGTTTCGACTTGGATTCCACCTCCAAAACATCACATTATATAGATATGCAAATACAGGTATTCCAAAATCTGAGGGGAAAAAATCCAAAGCTCTTTTGGCTGTAAGCATTTTGGGTAAGGGATACTCAAATTGTAAGTTACCGCACAAGTGTAACTATCCTTGGTGACATTCTTTCAACATTTTAAAGGAATATGGTCATTATATTGATTATTGGGACACAGCACGATCAACCACACTCTTATGGTGGGAGACACTTTTATTAAACTTTTAAAGACAATGTTTTATTTATATATGAAATTTATAGAATAAGGTGTCTTTTTAAGGACAATCTACATACCTTCCATATTTAATGTATCTATCTTTGCCTTCACGTGAGTTTTATTTCTACTATTCCAACCATGTTTTACTCAATATTAAATATATTCAAAGTGATAATGGTTCAACATGCTATAACTGCCGATTTTCTCATTTCAATGAAAAGCTTGCAAAGGAAATAAAATGGTTATTTCTTAACAGATTGCAAATTTAGGAAAAGGCTGAGTTAATGAACTCTGAAAAGGTTTAACGAATTGGCTAGAAATTCACCAGTTTTTAGTTATGCCCGTCACATTTTTTCTCTGATCACTGCTGGCAAACTAGTATCGGACATCAACGGGACTTTTGCCAAGATGAATAGTGTGTGCCTGTGAAATGAGGGCAAAAAAGACTTGGAGTGCAACAGGAAAGCAGAAGATATGTACATGAAGAATTAGATAAGGTGATCTGTTATTCTAACTATACTGCATAGACAAAAGAAGTGTGAGAAATGATAGTATTTAATAAATGTACTGCTAACACAAAAATAGGCTTGCTTGTTCTTTTCCAACTCCTTTCCTTTTTCTTGGACAATTTACCCCTGTTAGAAACCACTCTCTTTTTAAAAGATTATTTACTACAAGTTATTCAGGATCCTGTTCAGTCATGCTCAGTGCGAGAATGAAAAAAGTCTAGGACATTAACTTTACAGTGGATCTCTGTGGCAGCTATCTTGCCATGCAATATTTTTCCTCTCTCAGAGAATCATACTTTTAATTCTATTGTTGCTGAAGTTAAAATAAGTAAATATCTGTATCATACTTTTAATTCTATTGTTGCTGAAGTTAAAATAAGCAAATATCTGTATGCTATTCGCAGGTAGGAAGTGGTAGGACTGGGACTGCTTCTGGATAAAAATTTATTATAGAATCACTCTGGTTCTTTCCTTTCCACTTCACATCAATTTTTAATTCTATGTAATCTTTAGCAGATTGCATTGCTATAAAATCTCTTTCTTTTCGTTTATTGTATTTCTTCAATTGTAAGACACTTTCCTCCCTATATAATCATCTTAAAATGGAGTGTGTCTTAGAATCGCAGGTGTATCTTACACATTTTTATTGGTAGTGTTGATGGTACTGAAATTAGGGTGGCCTTACTATCAATGGCGTCTTACAGTTGAGGAAATGCAGTAACTGAGTATCTCTGTGACACTTTGATCTCAGAAGTCATTATGTCAGTGGTTGTTTTATACTGCAGAAATATGGCATGAAAATAGTAAGGAAGATAAAGGATGTTTAGCTTTCCTTCAGAATTTTCTCTAAAATTAGCAAGAAGTTTGACTGGCGTGAACTAAATATCAAAGTCATTGTTTATTGGAGTACAAAAACACAGATGAACAGCAATCTCTCGATCTGTACATCAGTAATCAGTCTGTTAATCCCTTGAAGATGATCTAGCATAGTAGGAATAAAGATATGCAACATCTAGGTCCCATTGCTGTAATGTGCTCCTCTCTGGGATGCCTTGAAGACAGTTCAGAAGGTGTAGATGCACCATAGTTTAGGTAAGTGCAACTCTAAGTGAGAGAACATGGACTCAAGACAATACCACATGAACATTTTAAAGTGGGTGCTCCCACTTTGTTATTGTGTGGCTGCCTCTTGCAGATACGTAGTTTAGGGAAGCTGAGGACTTCTCTAACTGAGAATTCCAAAGGCTCCGCCCTAAACTACATTTCCCAGAATCCTGCAGGAGGCAGACACACAATAGCAAAATGGGAGTGCACACATTATCATCCCGTGTTGATGCATAAGCCATCAACCACTGGTCCGTAAGGTATTTCTAGGAATGAAAAGAAATTCAGCCTCTAAACACAAATGCAGTACTGGACCACAGCAAATAAAATTATTCCAAATGAGAAAACTAGCAAAATCACCAGGCATTAAACTACAATACCCACCTAAGAAGATGAAGAAATGAATTCACAAGGCAAGACTAATATCCTGATCAAAACACAAAATAACAGCCCCCCAGTGATCACCTACTCCCAGCCGAGACTACTCAAATGTATCATAAATTAATTACAACTAATTTTGGAGAATAGTATAGGCTTTTAAAAGCTTTGAGAAGCAGCCCTCTATTGACCTACAGGAAGCTCCATATCTTACAACAACTGGTCATTTAGAAAAGGATCCATAACATGGATGGTAATAAAGGGGCAGGACTTTGCCACATACCTAGATGCCAACTGTGTCGCCATCTACTCTGGCAGTAGCATCACAGGGACCAATGACATCACACACAACATATCTGCTCTTCCTCCAGTGTGATGATATATGGAACTCTGTCCCAACAATGCTATCTACAGTTCTTACTGGACAAACAGGATGGTCTATATGCCAGAAGATAACGGGTACAAATCTGACATCCATAATGCCAAAACCAAATTTCAGAATATTTCAATCTTCCTGGACACATAGTAAGTGCTTTACAGGTTGTGGGTCTTTGAACAGGGAAATTACAAAAGAAGACTAAAAAGGGAAATAGCTGAATTGAATCATATTCACAAATTCCAATCCATTCACAGAGGATATGAACAAATACAATGGTTTCACAGTGCACTACGTATACTAATACCAGAGTCCTTGCTACTGCACATATTACAAAGGGAATCTTCTCAGAAGGTTTTTAAATCTAGGAGACCTAGTAAGCAGATCTATTGCTTTCACATATCAACTGAAAGACCTGTATCACCTCACGCAGATCTTTGGTAATCCGGGGCAAGGACCACAATTTAAATCTTTCTGGA